CTGTCCCCCCATGGATCACCCTCTCTGGTTTGAAATGTACCCGCAGACATTTTCTGCGCTGCCTTAGTGGGCCAGGGATTCGGGCATTGGGGCTGAAAGGGGGGGCCGCCCTCCTGATTAGCCCTAACTACAGTGGCACAAATATTAGAAATGCCTTCCTGCATGACCTGTCTGAACATTTGCAGCATATCCGCTGGATGAATCATAGGCCCATGCGGATCGGGATGCCCCCCCCCAGGGACCAACTCAGGGCCGTGGGAGCGCGGATCGGGGGTCTTACTGCTTCCGTTTGACGTTGTGACACCCAGCAGACCTTCGGGCCCATCTCCGGAATCTCGCGGCGCGGATTCAAAATGGCCGACGGGCCTCTTCGCTCTCCCGCTTTTGGCGGTTTCCTGGTCTTCGAGCGATCGGAGCCGCTTCAGTGTGCGCTGCGTCGCTGCCGCCGTTTCTGCTAGGGCCGCTGGGAGGGCACGATCAAGCCCGTAGGGCGAGTTGGCCCCACAGTCCGCCGACGTCGCGGCTCCCTCCCTCTCCTCACCGGAGGAGAAGTCGTCAGCATGTTCTTCGGCCGCACTCATTTTGTCAGCGGAAAAAAGCGCTGAGGCGCTTCTTGCAATGCCAACTTCTCGGGATATCTTGACTCACGCCGGGAAGAAAGGCAAGGTGAGTAATAGAGCGATAGAAAGTAACTAGAAGGAGAAGAATTTAGACTAGAAAGTAAGGATAAAGCAGAAAAATAGCTTAGAAATGAGGCAAAGCCTTGACTCTCACTGCTACTCCCTCAGAGGCAGGAATAGAACTGAGAGGCGGGGCTATTCCCAAGGCGCCAAAAGGAAGGAGAAAAAAGTGTTTCCTGCCTCCCTGAAGGAATGATGGGAATAACCCAATGGAGATGTCCTCCGCCTCAGAGGGAGAACTGAAAATAGCTGTTTGTAAAAAGTAGTATTTGTAAGTTGTCTTTGAGCCTCCTGGATGTAGTCTGATCTATCCATGATGACAATGACTCCACTTTTGTTTGCTTCTTTAATTATAATATCTGGATTGTTCCTGAGACTGTCTATGGCCTTCCATTCAGCATGGTTGAGATTCTGTTCTATGTGATGGTGTTTGTTGATCACATTGGTTTGGACTCTACAACGAAAGCATTCGATGTAGAGATCTAGTGCGGCATTGCAACCATCAAGAGGGGTCCATGTGGAGTCTCTTTTTTTGTAGTGTTGTTTTGATGGCAGTTGGTGGTTAGTATCTTGTTCACTGGTGGGTTGAAAAGATGGCAGCAGTTCTCCAGTAGATTGTATGATGGTATGTTGTGAAGATGTTGTCTGTTCTTTCTTGTCCTGTTCTGGGGTATGTTGAAAGTACTCCTTCTGGCGTAGACAACCAAAAAGGGCTTCTAGGTCTCCACAGAACTGGATCACCAGTGTGGATTTGGTGGGGCAGAATGACAGTCCATGTGAAAGAACCAATTCCTCTGCTGGGATAAGTCTGTGTTGTGAAAGCTTAATGATATTGTTGAAGGAGTTCTTGTTACTTTGATAGTAGCATGCAGGTTAGAGAGTATTTTCTCTTTCTGTTTTCTTTCAGCAAATCCAGTTGAAAGTGGTAGATGGTTTGTCTTTTCTTGTGGAAATTTTGCCAAGTAGGTTGATTCCTTATAGAAATGTCTGGTTCACAGAGTTTCCCCATTAACCAGCTTTGGTTTGTAATACAGGACACTGATCAGATGTTTGAGTAGCTTCTTGGAAAGAAAATCAACTACTTGGCAAAATTTCCACCAGAAAAGACAAGTAGGATCTTACATACAAACATCTTATCTTATATCTTATATAAAGATCTTATATAAAAACTGGTTCACACATGGACATATTTCAATAAATGTTTCATCATTGCAGCTGGACATAAAAATGCTTATATTACTGTGCTGCAGATAATATGTTTGCATGTTTGATTTGCAACAGTATTCCACACACAATACTGTAGTCATCCCGTGATCTCAGTTCCATCCTATGAACACTTTCCTGAGACTAAGCCCCACTGACTAGACCTTACTAGGTTTCTGAGTAGACCTGCTTAGGATGTTTGACTCTTCAAGCTATGGGAAACAGGGATTTAAAGAGCCATAAATAATGACAATGATAGAAGCACATACCCACACAAATAACAGTTATTATACTTCTGGAATTTTCTTGGGAATCGGCCTCCCAACTTAGAATGAAAAAAGCAACTGCTAGGTGCCAGTATTGCTAATAAAAACTAAACTTACTCTCTTACAGTGCTATCTACCACAGAGGAAAACCATAACCAGAGATCCACAGTCTCAATCCAAACACAGAAAAAAAATTAGAATTAAAGAGCATTGATATCAGTGAAATTCAGCAGGTGTCAGCCACTCTGTCATTGCGGGGGGGGGGAGGCGGCTGACGTAATGTTTGTTATGCTGGAATTTTAACTTTCACTCCTCCTCGAGGAGTCTTATCTCATAGCCTGAGTGTCTGACCTTGGTACCTCTCTCCTGATGCTTCACTAGGAATATGAACCCATTAGTTTAGGCGTGCTCTAGCTAATTCCCTAATTGGCTCGACCTTGTCAGGGGACCCCACTTCAAATCCCGTATATCTATTCCCCTCCCACCTTTAGAGTTAGTTCTGACACTGAATGTATGCACAGATGACTTGCCTTTACTGTACTCAATAAACTTGAACCTTTTGGAAGGAACGTTGTTGAGAACTGATTGCTGCGAGACTCTGACAGCAGGTTTGATTCTGTTGGATTGAAGTCACTATGATTCATGTTATCACCACGGTCAACAGCTGAAATTCAGTCCTACCCAGAAATGTGATGTCCAGTGCTGTCAGTTTGTAAATAGAAACTTAAGCATCTCCTCCAACTACATATTATCGATCACACATTTCAAAGTAAATAACAGAAAACAAAACATAAAGAGAATAGCTTATTTTGTTCAGGAGGTGTGTGGGATTTTTAAATACATACATGCATGTGCTGCTATAATCCTGTAGCTTCTGTACTCGGTT